TATTAGGGTTGAATTAGGAGGTATCAAAATTCGGGTATGAATTCATATTTACTTTATTTCAAATACATTAACAAGCGATTTAGTATATATGTCAAAATTTTTATACTTGACGGGGAAATGTTGCAGAAAACAACACTGTTTGGCGGTCTGGTCTAACATTATTGACAATTTTCATGACCTACGAACAATTGAATTTGCAATAGTGAGAAGATAATGAATAATTTCACACAAATCTTAGAGAATTATGGTAATGACCTGAGGTTCAAATCCCATGTCAAACATCCGATCAGCTTCATCCAATACCAGATAAGTAACACGCTTCAAGTTAGTGACTCGTCCCGAATTTGCGCACAAAAGATCAATCATGCGCCCTGGAGTGCAAACAATAATTTCAGCACCACGCTTAAGTTCGGCAATTTGATCCTTAATTGGTGAACCTCCATAAGCACATACAGCCTAATCAAGGGTAAATATGGTCATATTAACAAAACGATGGTTTAAATAAGCTATTCTAGTAATTAACTGACAGAAAATGATATGCAATGATATAAATACTCGAAGATTTAATCCTTTTAAAAAGTGTTTGCATTCTTTATGTATTTGCACCGCCAATTCTCTTGTGGGTGTCATGATTATGGCTATAGGCCCTTCCATTTGCTCAAGTGGACGTTGATCCTTGATATGTCGAAACATTGGAAGAAGAAAAGCTATTGTTTTACCACTTCCTGTTTTGGCAACACCTATAACATCACGGCCGGCCATAATAGCAGGGATGGCTTGCGATTGAATTGGTGTTGGTTTCTCGAAATTTAATCTTCTTATTACATGCAAACTAACGGTTCGACCATAGAAAGATAACGTTAATATAATCCAGTTTCTATCATAAAGCGTATAATTTAGTGATTGGTTACCATGCAGCTGGTAATCCAGCGTGAGTCCATTTTTGAATTGGTTTTGGGCAATCAACTCCCTGCAAAAACATTAAAAACATTATAATAAATATAAAAAAAAAAAAAAGTATTTGAAATAAAGTAAATATGAATTCATACCCGAATTTTGATACCTCCTAATTCAACCCTAATAAGATCAACTTGATCAGGTGTTAGGTCGTGCATTTCTGGAGGCTCAATGTAAAAGTCTTTGCGGAAAGGTTCATACTTGACTTGTGTGTGATCTACTGCAGCTAGGTCTTTTTTCTTGAGCTTTTTAGCTGCCAAGCTATTGAAAAATTTTTTTAATAATTTAAATTGCAGATTAGATCATTAATAAAATATATTTACGCTAGGATGTCTTCAGGATCACTTCCAAATTCCTCTTCTGCATAATCTTCCTCTTGAACATTTTCCAGTTTTTCAAGCTTACTCCTTCCTTTTGCTGCTTGTTTAGCACGCTTTTTGTCTTGCTCATTCAAGTATTCCACTTCGACTTCAACATCTTTCATAAAAGCATCCAACGGATCTTCTTCATCAATGTTATTTGTTTGCATTGATTGGTTGCCAGAGTCCGTCGAGGTTTGAACTTTCGTGGACTTTTCCTCATCTTCACCAGGCCCTGCTTTAGCTTTTCCTTTAACACTTGTAGTAGTTTTCTTACTTCCAAGTCCAAGCAAGGGATTTCTTCTAACTGGAAATACTGATGGATCTGTTTTATCTACCGGTTTTGGTATTGGCATCAAATCCACAGTATCTACAACAGAACAAAGGTAAAGTTTTAGAATAGTTAAATGATAAATTTATAAAAGAAGGAATGCACTCATTCACCTGGAGCACCATCTACTTCCATTGCTTCATCTTCTTCTTCATCATCTAAAGTCCAACCCTTGTTTTGATTTTGTTGCATTTCTTCATCAGTAACAGGTGATGATTGACTAGTATCTGCAGCCATCTTTATTTTAGCTGCTTCTTCAGCCATTTTCGCAGCCTCTCTTTCTCTTCGCCATTGCTCAACTCGTTCTCTTCTTTGCCGAATTTTTTCTTCTTGATCAAGCAAAGCTGCCACCGTCGCAGACGTAGTTGAATCGACTGACTGTATATTGAAAACCAAATTATTCGATTGAAAACCAAATTATTCGATAAAATACCACAAAATGTGAAACTATACATAATTTACTTTTTTACCTTTTGATTTGCAGCTTGTATTTGTTTGTCTGAATCTCCATTAGCACCTTCCCCAGTTGCGTTATTTCGAGGTTCTTCAGATAAAGCTCCGGATAAAGTAGTGCCTGAAGATCTCGCGACAATTTTAGATTCTTGTGAAATAGCAGTGTCCGTTGAGCTAATAGCTCGCGTTTTTTTGTCTTCATTCTCTTTTGAATTTTGTACCCTCGACTGTACATCCTCCTTTTCAATTTCGCTTTTCGAGTGCCGGGAGCGTTTGTGTTCTCTATCATCTTTGTGACGATCTTTATCACGACCACTTCGTCTGTCTCTACTGCGACTTCGATCCTTGGATTTTTCACTTGTAACGTCCTTAGTACGCTCCCGACTCCGGGTTCTTTCATGTCTATGTGAATGCTTTTTTCTTTTATGTGGAGAACGAGACCGGCTTCTAGAGCGAGAATGTCGTGGCATCTTACAATCCAATGGGAGAAATTGCAGTGGAGTTACAACCTGGGCTCGAAGTAATTTATAGTATTAATAATTAGTCAGGTGACTGTATTATGAAATTTCTTACTGCGTTTCGCCGTTAAAGGTGACATATGGCAGACTTTCTCGTGATTGGTTAATTCCAGTTTAGAGTACTTTTACCCACAAACGAAGTTGTGTATCTCTAGGATTCACTCTACCCACGAGACTTAACTTAGAGACGATTTATAAGCTAGGAAAATAATAATGTGCAATAAATACAGGTTTTTGCTCTGCAGCACTCTAATTGCAAAAAATAAGTTAACTAGTTTAAAAAAAAAAGGTTTAAAGCGATAATAACTTCGTGACAATATTATATATTAAAACAGATTATAAACACTCGAAGCTTTACTTTGATATGAAGAAATCGTTTGGTAAATAGTTTTATATTTCGAGATCTTGAAATTAATAAGTTCAAAGTTGGGATTTTTGGTATTATTTAAGAAAGCAATAAAAAGGTTATATATTTATTTTTAAATGATAAATAGGTTTTACTTCATTCATTTGTGGCCTACATTTAAGATAACTTTTATTATATGTTACAGAAAATTATGATTTCGTCGTTTGGCATTTAAAGAAGAAACTTTATTTACAAGTTTATATAGCGATGGATTTGTATAATAACTTTCTTGCTTGAATTAAGGGTACGTAGAGTATACTGTAATATAGATGAATTTTTATTAATATTTTTTTTAGAGTACATTTATTTATCGCCCCATAGCATGACTGAAGTTCAATTTTATTGGTCGAAAAAATGTGATCTACAGATCCCATCTGATTAAATTTGATTGGCTAG